TACTTTTTGGACTTTTAAACACAAACACACCTCAAAGTGATGTCCAAGCGACCTCCAAGTGACCTCAAAGCGACATCCAAGTGACCTCAAAGGGACGTCCAAGCAACCTCCATGTGACTTCTAGGTGACGTCCAAGTGATCTCCAAGTGACGTCAAAGTGATCTGTTTTGAAAAAAAGTTTTTGAAAAACATTTTAGAAAAATTCTAAAAAAATATATATTTTTTTTAGAAAAAACATTTTTTTGGAAAAATTTTAAAATCTTGAAAAGGAAAGAAACATTCCCAGAAACTTTGAGAAAATTTTTTTTTGGGTCCAAGTAACCTCCAAGTGACGTCCAAGTGACCTCAAAGTAAAGTCTAAGTGACGTCCAAGTGACCTCAGTGACATCCAAGCAACCTCCAAGTGACTTCTAGGTGACGTCCAAGTGATCTCCAAGTGACGTCAAAGTGATCTGTTTAGAAAAAAAGTTTTTGAAAAACATTTTAGAAAAATTCTAAAAAAAAAAAAAAGTCTAAAAATTTCGAAAAAAATGAATTTTTTTTTAACATTTCTTTTTGAAAAATATTATAATGAGGAATTTGATAAAAGATCAAATTTTGGACTTTTTTTTCAAAGATTTAATTGAATAAGAAATTTTTTTTTTCTAAAACATTTTCAAAGATTATCAACAACATTTTTCAACATCGGGCCAAAATCTTATTTGGTTTTTGAAAAAATATTTTTTTCAAAAAAATTAAAAAATATGTTTTCTAATTTTTTTTTCAAAACGCTATATTTTGATGAGAAACACATTACCAAAAAAAATTTTAATGTTTTTACCAAATGATTTCAACTTCTGACCAAAATGTAGGGTTTTGTTGCAAAATTCCAAAAAATTATACTTATTATAAAAGTGATACTTATTTTCAAAAAGCTATACGTTGATGAGAAACATGCAGAAAAGATCAAATTTAAAAATTAAATTGAAAAGTTTTTCATCAAAATTTCTCAACATCTGAGCATAAAGTAGGGTATCACCAAATGCTTTTTTTAAAAAATCAAACATTTTCAACCTCTGACCAAAAATTTGGGTTTTGCCAAAAACTTCCCCCCAAATCTTTTTTCTAAAAATGTTTTTCAAAATGCTATATTTTGATGAGAAACATGCAGAAAAGATACAATTTTGAATTTCTTTTTTTCAAAATTCTTCATCAAAATTTTTGCAAATGCACTAATCTGCCTCCAAACATGTAGCTAGTGGCCACATACTGGTCATAATCATACCTACAGTCATTTTTTTTAAATGTTAAACCTAAGAATCAAACATCAAAGCATGGATGAAGTGAATGTAAAATCCTTTCTGCATTAATTAAACATTTACAAATGCTGCATTGATTTTGAAGCCTGACTAAGAAAACAACAAAGGTTAATTTCCCTGAATTTTCACCTAGTAAATGAACTGCATTACTACCATACATTCTACTACAAACTCCACAGATACTGTGCTGTGCTTTGGAATATTAAAATGGTATTAACTCTGAATGAAACACTTTTCAAATACAACTGTTTTCTTTTTAATATTAAGAACATCAAAGAGTCGATTAAGACCTGACAGTGTGAAAAACTCCTGGAAGAGCAGTTCATACATTTTTGATGACATTAAAAAAAATACAGATCAATGTTTTCCATCAGGCGCCTCTACTCAATAATCTGTCACAGCATTATTTGAAAGCAGGCCATTAATGTTAGGACGATGCCTTGGCATTTCACAGGAAATCAATGGAACACAGTACACTCATATTTTAAGTCTTTTAGTTGTTGGGGCAAAAAGTTAGTCTCAGATGAAGTTGGCAGAGCAGCAGAACATGTGTGTTCTTCTTCATGGGCTAAATGACCAGACTGAAGTCAAAATTAAATTATTTAGTTTGGGGTTTCTTGCTTTTTTAAAAAATGGTTTTACATGAATGATTCAAGTTTTTGCCTTATATTATTAAATTTGGGGGCTTGATCCCCAATCTTTCTGTTGACGGTTTGCATGTTCTCCCTGTGTGTGCTTGTGTTTTCTTTAGTTTCTGTGGTTTCCTCATACAATCTCCAAAAAAACAATTTAAAAATCCACCAAAAAAAAAACAACAAAACATTTTAAATTAAAAGAAAAAAATCAATAATACATACAAATTCTTACAAGAATTTGTAATACACATGTATTTCTACTCTTTAAAAAAAATTAACTGTCTGCAGCTATGAAATATGTTTCATGTTGAAAATTTGTTCTGCCTGCTACCAACCTGCATGTCCGTGCCATTAGAGCTTTGTGGCCTTAAAGCGGAACTGCATCTATTTTGACAATTCTCCTGGGCTGTTTCCATCCTGAGGCCCTCTGGACCTGGTGCTCTGCTCTCTGATGTTCTCTCATGAGTACCTGCAATTCCACAGACAGAACAGGTAAAGCCAACAGAAGAGAACAGGGCTTATGTTCACAACAACAGAACAAAACAGAAAGTAACTTCCAACTTTTCCCCGACACGGAGACACATCACGTACCTCCTGACACCAACACAGATTGCCATACTGCATTTTTTCAAGCTACAATTCCGACATATGTTCATTCCCGAGCTTCCCGGCTGAAAAACCTGGCTGTGACCTGTTCCATTAGTTTTCCCTGGTAATTGGTTAATAATGAGACAGCGTCAGTGGTGAGGATATCAAGACCGTCAAAAACACACACGTACACAACAACCAGCCGAGCTACATTTCCAGTAATTACTGCATATTTGAACAGTAAGGACTTGTGATTTACCCGTGTACTCTGTGACCTAACACCTCCACCACAAAGACACATACAGACACACACACACACATACACACACACACAAACAATCCCTATCTGCTAACAAACCAACTTATCATAAGGCTACTTAGTTCTCAAGGTGTCATCTGTTAAAGTGTCAGGAGAACATATACGTACAGTAGAGATTGTCAAACACCGTGCTCATTTCAAATTGTAATTAAACTGGCCATCAGCTACCTGGAGGCTGTTTAGTCAACAGCAGGGTACTAATTACTATAAGATGACCTTTAGAATAATATCTGGTGAATTATTCATAATTGAGAAAATTGCTTCAGAGACACGGCAAAGACATCCCAGGGACAGTTGGGAACAGACACAAAGAAGATTTCCACTCAAAGATTTCAGCCAGCCCATGACAATGAGGTTGATAAAACTGTGGCTTTTTTGTGCAAAACAGGGGAAAAAAACATAAAAGGTAAAAGATGAGGCGTCAATGCCAACAGATGCTGAATAAATGCTGAACTTCTTCATCGTGGAATTATTATTATCTCAGCTCGGCAAGAAATGCAATTAAATGTGACATTTTTTAAAATTATTAACCAGTTTGTTAAATCACCATAATGTTAAATATTACTACAGCTGGGGATCGTTTTCTCATTTGCTTCAATTGTCCTCCTGTGGACTGAGCACTATGACAAAGAAGGATGTTACCATATGGGTTGGTCTCTGTGAATAATCACATTGAGTATGATCTCTCCTACGTGTTTGTGGGCAGGTTTCAAAAAGGGTTAGAGACAATGCTCCCCATCCAAATGATTTGTCAAAATTTAATTGCCAGTAAGTAACACTAACACTGTCCTCGTGGACACTGAGGAGACCTGAGCCATGCCAGAAAGTGTCCCCCCCCCCCCCCCCCCCCCCCCCCCCCCGCCCCCGTGTTCACAGGACCAGTTCAGCCAAATAACATTTATGCAGTTGTGTGTCCCTGATGCAAATAATTCAAAATAGTGTACTACACAGAGTCAGTGTGATGCCACTCAGGACGCAGATCTGCACTTGTGTGTAACATAACATGTTTTCAATTAGGCAACGATGACAAACACAAGTGGGTTCTCTTGTGTTTGTCAACCCACAAGTGGGCTCTCTTGTTGTGTTCCTGCATTGGCACTATGAGAAACTAGCATGATGTGATATAAACTAGCACATTTTGTTCTCGGACCTCTGAACAAAACAACTTTGACTTTGAAAATGTTTACTCCTGTACTGTACATTGTTTTTTGTTTTTTTTTAAACAAAATCTCCCCTCCCCTCTTTTTTTAGCCTGTGAGAGTTTCTCTCATGGGAGAGAGACACCAGACACAGCAGCTGTGTGAGATCGTACTTGACACAGAGGTGCTGCGAGCCAACCACAGGCGGCTAACATCCACACTGTGACACTGTTGTGTTATTCTGATATTTTGACCCAATGATGGGACACAAGGTGGGTCATTAAACCCAACCACTGGGGATGTTGGGTAAATAACAAATTGCTGTTGAGGTGTCTAAATATTGACCAGGTTTTAAATGAGAAGTCAGGAAGTCATCAAGACGCTCATGTTTCATGTAGTGGAGAACTGCAGTACAGTTGACTGCATGGAATTGATCGTCAGTTCACATCAATGTTTTAATTAATTTGTGAAATTAATCAGATTAACATCATCAACAATTTTTTCCACTCATCGTTGCCTTAAAATGCAGTCAAAACCCGTTTTTATTTGCAAATACTGTGGGTAAAAGAAAATCTCACTAAAGCATCTTTATAAAATATAAAATCATCTCAACGCCCAGCATTCGTGGTTGCTACAACTTTAGGTCAGACAGTGTTCACTTTAGACCAGCCTCTTGGATCTTAACTGAAGTTCTATAAACCAAACTTTGACACATTTCCACAAGTCACCATCAAGATGCAATATGATGACTCGGATCCACTTGTCTATCTGTTACAGCAAAATTCAGAAAATATTATATTTAGAAATGTGCTTCATATACACAATCTGAACGTAAGAACAAACGAATAATCACGATTAATATTTATTCATCATCATAATTACTTGTGATTGTTCCACAGCTCCTCTTTGATTGATCAGATTAAATACTTGAACTGTTTGACAGCCTTTATAATGTATGTAATATATAAAACTTGCTTTTCCTTCTTAAAGTGAGAGGCCTGGTAACACTGGCTGCCCATTATATCACAAAGAGAATTAAAATTCACATATTTTCTCTTTTCACAGTAGGGAAGTGGATCAGAGAAACAGGCTTTACTGAGACTTTCTTGTAAAGATACAGTATCACAGGGCAGCCACTGTGCCAGCATGACAAGCCTGTTCACCTTCACCACACATGCAGCTTTCCTGCAGTAAGGCTCTAAGTCCCTGAAGCTCTTTCTCTATGGACTTTATTGTCTCCCAGGGTGGGAGGCCTTTCTCTCTGTTCTTTTCTTTTTTCATACAAGAAAAACAAACAAGATGGTGTTGCACATGGTTCTCTGTTTTATAATACAGTATTATTGGACTGTGTTTAGCAGTTTCAGCAAATAATAATTATATTTGCCAAATGTAATCTCTATTCTTATCTATGTAATGTAAATTATCGATATTTTGGAAAGCTTCCTAATATTGAAATACATTTTAAATTATATTTAATGTTTTCTAATTAAATAGCAAATGAAACAGCTGCCTTTTTAGGAAAGTATTTTAACATATTTTTGAAAAGAAATTAATGCAGAAAGGTTGTTTTGTATGGGATTTGAGCAAAAACGCATGCTTTAAAATGGTTCTGTGTGCAGACACCTTAACCACTTGGCCACCACGACAACATAAGAACTGTGACTATGATAGGCTTACTATAGTCTCAAGCATTATTTTCTTTCACACCTTGACCTTGCAAATGCAATATCTTCTCCACCTACTAATTTTGAAAAAATATTTTGCATGTTGACTAGAAAAAACAAGAAAGATTCCAAATAGGACTCAAACCCATGACCATGTTCCAAAATGGCTTTAATGACAGAGAAGTATAAAAGGGACAGGCATGAATACCAGTACTGAAGATGGTTCAGAGAGGAAGGACGCCGACCTTCAATGTAAAGACCTGGGTTTGAATCCCAGCAAGGTAAGTCACACAGGGGGAGTGTGAGTGTGTATGTGTGTGTGTTCAAGGTTTCAAAACTAAAAACTCAAACCAAAAACCAAACCAAAACAAAACTCAAAAACAACACAAAAAACCCCATCAAACTTGCGTTGCGAATTCCGTTCGGCGGTTGCGTTTGCGTTTGCGTTGAGGATCTTCAAAAAGAAAACAACAAAGGTATGTTTTTTTTACATTGAGTGCTAAAATAATTAGTGTTAGAAAGTGAATGGAATGGTTTCACACAAAACACAGAAACACTTCCTCTAACACCATAAAGAGAGACTTGTTTTTACATCATAACAGAGAGACGATAAAAAAAAAAAATCCTAAAATATGCTGGTAGATAAAAGATCCTTAATGAACCTCAAGTATAACTGAAGGAGTCAACCTTTACATTTAAGAGCATCAATGAAACAATGGTAGGTGAAAGGAAGAAGCACCAGAGATAATCAATACAACAATTACACATGCAGATAATGAAAATCAAGTTGTAGTTGAAGTCAATGCAAGGAATAGGTAACATAAAGCCGATGCAAACAGAGCAAACACTTCTTTGTCCCACATCTGGTATTCTGACATGGATTAAGTGTCAGTTGGCATCAGAAAACCTTTTTCTTCCTGCATTGCCACAGCTGAATTAGCATTATTTAGCTCCATCTAATTAATGGAATCTTGACCCCCACACGCACACACACACAATTCTTTGTTAAAACTGGCCAATTATGTGGTTTTACCCAAGTATTGAAACTAAGAATAGATCCAACTCAGAGTCGACATCTCAGGCAAAAAAAGTACCTTTTTTCTATTGGAGAAAATGCACACACGTATGCGTGCACCTTGATGTGCTCTAGCTGGGGGTCTGATTCTGGTAAATGGAAGGAGTTTAGAGGAAAAGACATTTGACGAGCATGACTATGTTCTGTCAGCCCTCATTGGGCCGTGATTAATGACTGACATCCTGTCACCTGTCTGACAGAATGCAAATGCACTGCTGTGAAGGAAATTATCCTAATGTGGCCCTTAATTGGATGCAGGAAGTAGTATGAAAGCAGAGGATACAGAGGGCTGAGTGTTTTCTTAAAATAAGGCATTTTATTATAGCAAGGACTGGCAGCCTGATGTGGGAGACTCTGCAGTGTTATTGGAAATTGTTGGCAGTAAATCCCTCTCATTTGTAGTGACAAACTGACATTTAACAGTGGGGAGTCCAGGTATATGCAAAGTCAATGTTTGGTGTCTCTTGAGTTGAAAATTAAATCCTGAGCAGGCACTTTCACTTCATCTTTTTTGTTCTCTTTTCCTCTTTCCATTATTTTATTCCCTTGTTATTAAGTTAAGGTTGAAGCTTTTGCACAAATGAAAAGAGAAACAGGTGATGTGAATTTCTTATTTTCTTTGTTAGATAGTTGCAATGTGTTGCAGCACAAAGGCCACACTGAATGGGAAAAAAATGTGATGTA